TCTGAGTTTAACAGCTCTTTTTATGTGTTTTTTTTTATCCATTTAATGTAAAGAAAACACCTCAAATGTGTTTTTAAGTGTGGTTTTTTGTCTTTTGGTTTGATTTGATGTTTTTTTTTTTCCTGGCATTGAGCCAAAAACCTTTATTTAAGCAGAAGATATCTTCATATCTCCATCTTCAAGAGGGATTCGTTCATTATCCACATATGTTTTGAAATTGTCAGCTTTTTCTGGCTGTTAGTATTCTTTTTCAAGGTAACATTAACATGCAGCACCTTTTGCTTGGAATAATCTGCAAACACAGTTGCAGTTCAAAGAATTGATTTCAATACATGCTTTTAAAAAGACTATAAAAGATTTAGAAGCTGAAACAGGTTTGTAGATGTTTTGAATAGTTTGTCAGTGTGATTCATGTTAACTGTAAATTGTTTTATGTTTGTTGCCTGTTGGACTCATGTGACTTGTGTACTGCCAAATCTTGGCCAGGACGTTTTTGTAAAAGAGATTTTTAATCTCAATGTGTCTTTCCTGGTAAAATAAAGGTTATAATAATAATAATAATAAAGTATTTTCGGAATTACGGAGGGATTAAAAAGATTCCTCACATCACATCCCTTTTATAAAAACTCTAATATGTCATTAAATGTTAGCCCTCCTGTCATGTTCACCTCTCACCTCTTACATGTTAGTGTTCCTGGTTAAAATTGACCGGCCTCTTTCAAAATTGCTCAAAAAGCATTTTTCACTATTGAGTTTCTAATTCAACATTCTTTAGCTGTGAACAATGTCTCAAACTACTGTTTAACATGAATTTATAGAATTAAACTTACAATAACTACAGTGAAAATAGGCACTAAAAATGTATACAAAATGAGCATGTAATGTGATGAGGTGATCACAGGAGATCAACACATAAGCGTGTGCGCACACCAAAGATATCATTCAGTCTGAAATGTGTGCGTGTGAGTGAAGTATGGGGGTGCTTTCTGTTTGCAGGTTGAATAAAGTCTGGATATCCATTCATTTTCTTTGGCTGTCACTTTTGACCGGGAACACCACAGGTGTACCATGGTTGACTAAAACACTCAGAGTATACCGACAGAGGTGATCATCACTTTTATATGTTCAAGTGCACAGTGTGGAGGACATCATGAGGCCTGAGGCAATCAGATGGAAAACACAATAATTATGAGTATTTCAAGTTGCAAATTGGTCAGATTTGACCCGAATACGACAGGAAGGTTGTACAATACAAAATGTGACCTTTATTAAATAATCTGATTTTTGTGCTAGACATGTGTATGCATTTCATTAAAGAATGCCTTTTTTGAAGAGAATTGTCATACAAAAATATATATATTTTTTTATAACTCTTAAATGTCATCTACAGTATAAACTGTGTTAAAATTATGTTTTTTAGTGTCTTAAAAAGGGATGAATGTTATGAAAAGGTATGAAAAACAACTTATTTTTCATAACAAAATTTTTGGTCGGGAAATGTTACACTGGTTATTCTTAAAAAACGTTATAGTGTATTATGTCACAGAGTTTAAATCGTTCATTATTATTTATTTATTTGTTTTTGTAAAAATGCAGTGCTGTAACCTCAAATGATTGTAAATAAAGAAGATAAAAGCTGTTTTGTAAAAAGCTTTGTGGGGGAAAAAACTGTGCTGAAATGATTCAGCTGCCTTTCTAATCTTTTTGTTTGTTTGTTTTACTCTATTCAAGTATGCACTTCCTTATATTGTCAAAACATTCAGAACCGCAGAGCCAGTGTCAGTGTTAGAACACAATGTTTATGAATATTGGGATTGGGCAAGAGTGACAGATTGGTTTTCAACATCTTTTGGTCAATTAAAACTATAAGCGCATTTCACATCAATATATACAGAATAAAATCATACAAACACTCAATATTATTTTTACAGTTCTCTGTTTGTTTGTTTGTTTGTTTGTTTGTTTGTTTCTTTCTTTCTTTCTTTCTTTGTAACAACGCAGCCAGCAGCGCCCTCTAGTGTAGTTAAGGTGCTAGTCTATATCTTGCTTCTTTCTTTTTTTCTTTTTTAAGGCAACACATTATCCTTTAATCAAAGCATTATGTGTGATGCTTTATATACACCACAAACAATGGAAAACCTCTGGAAAAATACATTCAAATCTGAGATGAATGAGAGCTAGGCTATATTTTGAATACATCTTACTGAAATTTGCAGCTGTACTTCAGAGTGTCACTCATCACGTGGTTTGCTTTGACATATTTCAAGAAAAATACCAGGATTTACCAAATATTTTGGTGGCACTTTCTGAAAACAAATTATTAAAGGTTTAGTTTATCCAATAATTTAATTAAAATTGGTTGATTAAAAAGTAAATTCCCTTTTAATGTACTTACCAGGGGCGTTGCTAGGATCGAAAGGGATAAGGGGCTTAGCCCCAAAGAAGTTGTTTTTTGAAAATGTAATTTTCTGCATATCTTCAAATCTGAAAATATAATTTATTTTATAATGTGAGTTGTTATCCAATGTGATACAAAGCTACAAACATGTTCATTTGGACAGAGTGATTAACTGAGGTGAAGTGTTGTTAATATACTGGAATTTCTAAACTTGCAAAATATTGATATTCAATAGGCTACTATTTTTTTATATAATAACAACTCTATCAAAAATAGTACAAAAATACAAATAAAGATCCATATGCTAGAAATATGTTTACTTTAAATTTCTTTAGAGGGAATTTCTTTTCAGTTTTCCTCAAAATAGGGTGATGTGGGCATTGTAGCACTTTAAATGCATGTAATGCCTGTTTTATTTATACTTGAGCAGAAATTCCATATATGCCTCACAAAAGTAGTAGAACATTCCAGGAAATCCTTAACATGGATGAAGGCATCCAGCTATTGCTGCAGTAGAATGAAAATAAGATCTGAATAAACATAAAAAGGCTTTAACTGATCATTTACACGACTGAGACAATAAATGTTTTATACAGTTGAAGTCAGAATTAGCCCTCCTTTGAATTTTATTTTCTTTTTAAATATTTCCCAAATGATGTTTAACAGAGCAAGGACATTTTTACAGTACCCTATGTCTGATAATATTTTCCTTTTGAAGAAAGTCTTATTTGTTTTATTTCAGCTAGAATAGAAGTACTTCCAATACTTTGAGAAAATTACCTCTATACTTAATTTTCCACGGTGACTTGTGAGATGAAAATGTTACAAGTAGGCTACTTTGACAAAAAAAAAAAAAAACCCACAACAAAATTGTTATCTGTGCTTCTGGCTTTATTTTTTGAGTCACAAGGACCGCAGTTTCAGCTTTAAATCATATTTAAAGTCAGTGTGAAATTAAAGTATCTGAGACTTTTATTTCAGTGTGTTAATGTACTAAAGGGGGCGGGGCTTTCTATTCTTACATACGCGGGGGCGTGGTTAAAATATTGTGGTTATTGTGCGTCAAACTGACGTCAAGAAGGAAACACAGATTACACAAAAATTCATTCATCCAGCAAAAGAATTTCTAAGGTTAAAACTCAATATTTTTCACTCAAATGTATGACAGTTTGTAATTTAGATACGGAAACAACTGAACACTTGTTTTTCCAATGTAATTTGCTACAAACATTTTGGGATGGATTATTAGTTTGGATACAACAGAAAATATCTGTAAGACTTATCTTCTTATGGGAAGTTATTAAGTTTGGATTAACACTTAAGGATAAAAAAATATCTTATATAATAAAACATTTGTTGATATTATAAAAATTTCATATTCATGAATACCAAGACAAGTGATGTTTAAAAAAGAAATTGTGATATATTTGAAGACATTAAGAGAAATAAAAAGCCAAAAAGCAAGATATTTATATTTACCATTAGAGGATTTTGGTTTCATATTTTGAGAACTCCAACTCCCCTGCTACGCATTTTTCTTTCTTTTTTTTTCTTTTTTTGTAATTTGTTTATTTTTGTTATTTTATTTATTTATATGTTTTATTATTATTAATGAGGATGGGAAGATTGTGAATGTAAATTGATTGTCATCTAAGTCAAAGACTATAAAATAAAGTTTCAGTCTTTTGTGTACTTTTAAATAATATTAATGCCTTTCTTTTATTGTTTAAGCATTGTTAATTAAAACAAAAAGATTAGAAAAAAATCACTTAATTAACTTGCACGGATTAATTGTTCACCTAAAAATAACAAGCACTAGCAAAATAAACAATGTAATGATTTCACAAGGAATCTAAAGGTAGTATACCAAATAATTAAACAAAAAATAGTCAATCAAACAATAAATACTATGAACATATTCAACCATAAGAAAAGAAAAAAACATCTTAGAGTCTAAAATTTCCATTTTTGTGAAATGACAATCAAAGACTATAAACATTAAAAAAAATCATTCATTCGTTCATTTTTCTTCAGCTTAGTCCATTATTCATCAGGGGTCGCCACAATGGAATGAACAAACTTTTTATCCAACATAAGTTTTACACAGCGGATGTTCTTCAACTACAACATGGGGAGAACATGCAAACTCCCCACAGAAATGTTATTTGAAGAAGTCATTTGAAGTGTTAGTCTCTTATTTCTCAGAGGTCACCGCGGAATGAACTGCCAACTATTCTGGCATATATTTTATGCATCGGATGCCCTTTTAGCTGCAACTTAATACTGGGAAACACCGTACGCTCTTGCAGTCTCACACACACACTCATACATGGCCAGTTTACCCAATTTAACTATACCGTATGTCTTTGGACTGTGGAGGAAACCGGAGAACCTGGAACCCATGCCAACATGGGGAGAACTTGCAAACTACACACAGAAATGCCAACTGGCCCAGCCAGGACTCAAACCAGCGACCATCTTGCTGTGAGGTGACAATGCTAACCACTGAGCCACTGTATAATATATTGACCATATAGAAACTGCCAAAACTAAATGATTACCTGTGCTTTCGACCTTATTTTACGAATCAGAATGACCACAGTTTCGGCTGAAAATCATCTTTAATGTTCTGGTGAAGAAAAAAAAGCCATCTACATCTTGGATGGTCAACACTTAATGTAAGTAAACAGCAATTTATTAATATATCTATATATTTATTTGAGGTGAACTATTCCTTTGAGAATACAGTTGTGCTTGCATTAAATACAACACCCATATTTAACCAGTCAACAAATGCTGTATTTAGGGCAGTATTTAATGTTATCAACAAATCTCGTGGAGTTGAGAGGGAGTTTGCTTTTAAAGGGAAAGGGGAAACTTTTTCCAAGTAAAAAGAGAAAAAAAAAAAAAATATATATATATATATATATATATATATATAACAACAATAAATATCGTTTGAGTAAGATGTTTACATTTAAAGTGAAGCTCCCTCTAGCAGATTTAAAAACCTTGACAGCTTAGTGTTGCATGCGTCATCATGATATTACATGTGATTTACATTTATTTATTCATTCATTTTCTTTTCAGCTTAGTCGCTTAATTAATGAGGGGTCAACAAACCACTGTATAATATATTGACTATATAGAAACTGCCAAAACTAAATGATTACCTGTGCTTTCGACCTTATTTTACGAATCAGAATGACCACAGTTTCAGCTGAAAATCATCTTTAATGTTCTGGTGAAGAAAAAAAAGCCATCTACATCTTGGATGGCCAACACTGAATGTAAATAAACAGCAATTTATTAATATATCTATATATTTATTTGGGGTGAACTGTTCCTTTGAGAATACAGTTGTGTTTGCATTAAATACAACACCCATATTTAACCAGTCAACAAATGCTGTATTTAGTGCAGTATTTAATGTTATCAACAAATCTCGTGGATTGACTGATGATTGATGTTGATGGGAGCAAAGTATGTCGGCTATAGGATGACACATAGCTAGATATAATCATGCATAGTATACAGTGTATATTATGCACACGATTATATATTCCACAGGCATTAATATAATGAGATGCAGTTCATAAATAAAGCAGGCGGAGTGTTCTTGAAACGCATCTCAGTTTAACACAGTAACCATCTAAGCTATATTTGTTTTCGTTCTTGTATAATTACTCTAACAAGGAATGTTAGTCAGTTAGTTATTAATCACATTCAGGCTAACAAACATCACACAGCTGAACTAACATGTGACATATCCTTTATCGGAAGCCAAAAGCATTGGTATATTGCTTTACGCTTTTCATTGCTTTTCAATATAATTCTACTATAATAAAATTCCATCATCTGTATAATCTGTTCAAAACTAAAGTTGAGTTAGTGATATTATTGGTGGTCAGTGTTGAAGCTGTGATTGTCCAGGGTGTTCACAGTCTGAGGTACATTCACACGGGCATTCATTATTCGTATCATTTACATCTATACTTCTTCTTTGTCTGATTATTTTGTGTGTTTTTCTTCACCAACACATCTCACTCCATCAAGTAACATCGGCGTCCCATGGTGGCGCTCTGTGGAAGACAGTAACACATTTTCTTATTATTTTAGTGATCAGTTTTTAATAGACATTTTATAAATTGAGCCCAAATTGCCTTCGTTTTTGCAGTATGTAATTTATTTCAGTATCTCATTCATTAATGAGAGGAATTTAGATACTACATCAATGATTAGATGCTCTTATTTCACAGTATTTAACAGGATATTGTACTATGGTTATCAAAACAGACTAAAAGGTGGTGTATAATATTACATTCATAGAGGTACTCAACACAGACTTAAATTCTCTCCTCATTTGTTGACCTTCATGCCATCTTATTTATTTGAATTTCATCCTTTGTTTTAAACTATAGATTAATCCATCGTAACACACACACAGCAAACATGGTCATTCATACAACAATGTCTTGTGAAATAAAACTGAGGTTGAGATTAGAACAATGCTAATTACTTAACTTTTTAAACGTAACTCACTGGCCACTTTATTAGGTACACCTTACTAGTACCGGGTTGGACCGCTTTCGCCTTCAGATCTGCATTAATCCTTCATGGTATAGATTCAACAAGGTACTGGAAATATTCCTCAGATATTGAACCGATATTGACCTGATAGCATCACGCAGTTACTGCAGATTTGTGGGCTACACATCCATGATGCGAATCTCCTGTTCCACCACATCCCAAAGGTGCTCTATTGGATTGAGATCTGGTGACTGTGGAGGCCATTTGAGTACAGTGAAGTCATTGTCATGTTCAAGAAACCAGTCTGAGATGTTTAGTGCTTTATGACATGGCGCGTTATACTGCTGGAAGTAGCCGTCAGAAGATGGGTACACTGTGGTTATGAAGGGATGAACATGGTCAGCAACAGTACTCAGGGAAGTTGTGGTATTGACACTATGCTCAATTGGTATTAATAGGCCCAAAGTGTGTCAAAAAACAAAAAAAATCCCCACACCATTACACCACCACCAGCCTGAACTGCTGATACATAGCACGATGGATACATGCTTTCATGTTATTGTCGCCAAATTCTGACCCTAGCATCCGAATGTTGCAGCAGAAATTGAGACTCATCAGACCAGGCAACGTTTTTCCAATCTTCTAATGTCCCATTTTGGTGAGCCTGTGCCAACTGTAGCCTTAGATTCCTGTTCTTGGCTGACAGAAGTGGCACTCTGTGTGGTCTTCTTCTGCTGTAGCCCATCCGCTTCAAGGTTGGACATGTTGTGCGTTCAGAGATGCTCTTCTGCAGACCTCGGTTGTAACGAGTGGTTATTTGAGTTACTGTTGCATTTCTATTAGCTCAAACCAGTCAGGCCATTCTCTTCTGACCTCTGGCATCAACAAGGCATTTGCGCCCACAAAACTGCCGCTCACTGGATATTTTCTCTTTTTTGGACCATTCTCTGTAAACCCTAGAGATGGTTGTGCATAAAAATCCCAGTGGATCAGCAGTTTCTAAAATACTCAGACCAGCCCGTCTGGCACCAACAACCATGCCATGTTCAGTCACTTAAATCACCTTTCTTCCTCATTCTGATGTTCGGTTTTAACTGCAGCAGATCGCCTTGACCATGTCTACATGCATGAGTTGCTCCCATGTGATTGGCTGATTAGAAATTTGCATTAACGAGCATTTGGACAGCTGTACCTAATAAAGTGGCTGGTGAGTGTATGTTTCCTTAAAGCTAACCCAAACCTAACATTCTAATTTGTGTGGCACTTCACATCATAGCGTGCTTCCATGCACATTTTATAAATTGGCAGATTTGTGTGTGTGTGTGTGTGTGTGTGTGTGTACACTGAAAAAAATTATTCATTGGATTTATAAAGGTTGTAAAGGTTGTAAACAATTTATTTAGGCTGAATTTAAACAATCAAATTAAATTTAGTAATGTTCAAGCTTATTTGTTTGTTTAAATTCAGCTTATATAAATTGTTTGCAACATTTTGCAATGAACCATGTTTTTCAGTGTGTGTATGTGTCAGTTTGTATCTCACCCATGACTCTGGCCTGTAGTCTGACCCGGACGCTGCTGTCGCGTCTGCTTCTGTTGACCAGGGTGAGCTCCTCCTGCACCACTCCCTCCTGCTGAGCGATGTACTCACAAACCACCCTCACGCCACCTAAAACCACACACACAAACACACACGCAAACATTCAGGATGCATAAAAAGACAAAAAAATAAAGTGCCTGACAGAAAACACACCAGTGACCAGAATAACATTATAAAACTGAAACCATCATAAACAAACAAACAGTCACCTAGATGTACAGAGTGCTCGCATCTTCTTCTAGATTATAAATTGTATGCACTGATACGGCAAACCTACTAAGATTTCCCCGAAGATTCAACTGCGGGAAAAGTGACACTACTATAAATGTGCAGAGTGAGTTTGAGCTAATGGAGAGATCGATGATAGCTTGAAATAGGAGTGAGATTATTGATCGCGACATGACATCTCACATTTGGCTTGATGTATTACCAGTTAGGGCTACAAACAGTTTTATATCCACATTGACTGCTCTGGCAGCAGGTTTAAAATACCTTTTCACATTATTTATATGGCATATTACTGCTTCATTTAAGTGATGCATCAAATGACAAATCAAGACAGGATGCCTTATTTATGGAAAGGTTGCTTATTTATTAAAGGGATAGTTCATTCATCAACTAATAATAATTGTCACAACCTGTTTGAGTTTCCATTTTTTTTCAAAATAAGGTTGGAAACCAGTAACCATTGAGTTCCATAGTATTTTTTTGTTCTACAATGAACGTCAATGGTTACAGGTTTCTTATATTTTTTAAAAATAACTACTTTCATGTTCAACAGAGGGCGCCATGGTGGCTCAGTGGTAAGCACTGTCACCTCACAGCAAGAACGTCACTGGTTCGAGTCCCGGCTGGTGTTTCTGTGTGGAGTTTGCATGCTCTCCCTGTGTTGGTGTGGGTTTCCTCTGGGTGTTCCGGTTTCCCCCATAGCAAAATGTGCTATAAATAAATTAGGTAAACAAAACTGGCCTAAGTGCATGAGTGAATGTGAGAGTGTATGGGTGTTTCTCTGTACTGGGTTGCAGCTGGAAGGGCATCCGCTGCATGACACTTATACCGGAATAATTAATGGTTCATTCCGCTGTGGTGACCTCTGATAAACTTAGTTAAATGAAAATGAATGCTCAAGAGGAAAAGCAAACTTATATCATAAAGGTTTCTCATTTTGCCTGAACTATCTCTTAAGCATTGCACCCCTGAGATGTGCACTTAACACAGGCTGCTCCAGTCTGACTGCTGTAAATAACTTCAGCTGTAAAGTGTCTCATTAACTGCTCAACCCCTCTTAATAGGGGTCGTGTGAATATATGAACACACATGGGAGGATGAATGACACATAAGACATTGTATAATCTGTAATGGTAAGAGATGGTCTAAAGGTTCAAGTGCTCATGGGAAATTTGCATTCATAAGCTGGGAAATCATAAATTTTATGTAAGATGCATTCAAAAAGTATTCTCAGAAAAGTATTGTAAAATCTGATGGCAATGTACTTTTTTTTTTCCGGAAAATTCTAGTTTTTATATATGATGTCAGGATCTATGAATACATTTACAATTACTAACAATTATTCAATTTATGAAGATGCTGTCATTTAAATGATTATACATTTTCACAATTTTACAACACTGTGGCATTTTGTTAATAAACCCAACTGTGAATGATAAGAAAATTATTCATTTGAAGATATTTACCATTAATAAAGATGCTGAATATATTGCATCTGAGGCTTTGTCCATACTAATACATTTTTTTTTAAAGTATTTTTATTTCCTAAATTTTGACCTTCCATCCAAACTGATATGGAAATTTTTATGAAAATAAAGCTTTTTGAAAATGGTCTCGAGTTTGATAAATGTTCCTGGCAGAGGTAGGGGACTCAAGTCACATGAGTCAGACTTAAAGTGGTGGTCCAGAGTGTATTTTTAGGGCTTGGTTGTGTTTATAACATGCAAAGCAATGTGTGCTTATGCTTCATTTGTAAAAAGTCATGTTATTTTTTCATACATCTCACTTTAATTATATATTGCTACTCAGTTAACATGAAAACGAGCCCAAATACAGAAATAGAACAAGCTCTGTGGAAAAGCAGCATTTGGATGGCATTTTAGCTTTTTCTGCTATAACATTACAGCTCCTCTGGTCACGCCCCTTTGCTGCGTGGGTTGTATGGGTGTGGTTAATGGGCACAACCTGAAGCATTTGTGATCACACTAGCCCAGATGTATTTTTTATAGTCCCCAAACTTTGTTCGCTGTAGGCTTTGCTAAGCTAACTCAATGGCTAAGCCAATGTCTCTCTTTGCATTGAACTTTGAGCATATTACATTCAGATATGTTGTTTATGTTCACATACCTACATTACACATCAACTAATTTTAAAATAGGATATTATAGTGGACCTCCCTTTTAACTTGCATAATATTGATTTGCTTGACAAATATTCATAACTTGACTATCACCAAAGAATAAAGAATACACAAGACGTGTCACTCACATACTTTTGAATGGGGAAAAATGTAACTGTAAATATAGCAAATGAAGTCCCGCCTACTAGCCTACTAGCATAGGACACAATCAGCGATCGCTATAGACTGAAGATTCTCTAAAGGAAGGGTCGATGTTGTCAACTTAGCAACTCTGTCGCCATATTTAGCAACTTTTCAGACCCCCTTTCAGAACTTTTCTGAGTATATTACGTATAAGAGATTACTACAAATTCCCTACAAATCTATACTAATATACTGTGTTCAAACAGCAATAAATGTAAATAAATGGACCCAAATATTTTGGATAAAACAAACAGAAACGGTTAGACGTGATGACGTCAGTAATATGTAAATTGATGTATGATGTAATCTAGCGATATTTAGCAACTTTAAGGGCAGAGTTTAGCGCCTTTTCATTGAAAATAGTTGGCAACACTGGAAGGGGTTCAGAATAGACGTGAGTTTATACAGATATTGTGTGATTTGAACATTTAGAAATTAAACTCAAGAGAGACAGTTGTTGTTTAATTTTATTGGTGATTCCTAATATAAATTTAATTGTAAGCTTGGCAAGCAATTTTGAAGAATTTGATGATTCCCCATTCAATCAGAATGCCTGAGCGTACTTCAAGAGGCATTTCAAAGATGGCCGCCGAGTAAAATGACTTGCTTTAAAGGGACTTTTTTATCATGATTCGAGACTTGACTCAGACTTGAAGTAAATGACTCGAAATAACTTGTTTTTGGCTACGTCAAATATAATAAAGGGGCCATTTACATATTGTGTCTTTTGCAAGTTCAAGTTCCTTATTTGAAATGGAGTCTTGTGGCCTATTCAGTTAAAAGCAAGATGTTGGATGACATTGCGCAGTCATTATGTTGGCTGCTCACCAGTTGGATAGAGTTGCTAATATCAGTTTGCACATAATTCAGCTTGCCTTTTTTCAAGGGCATTTGAATATTCTTGAATACTTCAAAATGCTTTCTTGCAGTTGTTGTAAGGCAGTGCCACGCAAGGATAGATTTACTTGTACGTAGCATAGAGGTGTTTAGTGTTTTCCAATGTTTTAGTGTGAATGAGAAAAGTTTGTATAAAGCTTTAACTTGATATTGTGAACAGAGGGCACTTTTACATAAATACACTATTTACAAATGCATCTGGATTAGTGTAGATGTTGCCTAAAATTTTTATTTATTTATTTATTTTTTTTTGCTGACATTCCCCAACTCAGAAACTCAGGACCCAGTTTGTAAACTCAATCTTTCTGGCTTAATTTGATGCATCATAATACCACCACAAAAAGCATACCCTCTGCCCGTGGTGTGATGCGTGTTGCACGTAGCCGTGGTTTGGCCGTGGCACGGAGTGCAGGGGAAAGGGTGACATCTTTGCCCAACGTTGGGACTTGCGGCAAAGAGAAGACGATTTCATATTTGTGATGACTCCTTAAAAATCCGGCCTAAACAGAGAATGCAGCAGTCAGTGATTTCAGCTTACAACACATCTTGCACTGGCAATGCAATTTTTGTCAAATTAAAATAAACTATTTAAAAGGAAATTCATTATTTGCTGTGCTTGTTTAAAGCTCCCATAGAATAAAATCATGGATATACCCAGAAATAGCTCAATAATAAGAGTTCAGTACATGGAAATGGCATACCGTGAGCCTCAAACACTTATTTTTGAGTGTAAAATCATGGTGGAAAACAATTAGAACAAAGACTCTGATGATCCACACATATCATTAATCAAGATTCTTAATGTATTTAGCATTTCTGTGGGTCTGTTAAACTCTATCTTTTGTTAGTTTAACGTGTATATTGTAAAATATGCCCCAAATGTTTGTTTTGAGGCTCCAAACACATGTACACTGCTGAGTATAATGTTTCACTCATGTTCATGCATCGTGTCATATCACTGAGCTCTGACTGTAGTTGACCTGCATTGAAAGGATGCCAAAATACCTCTAAAATCTCATGTGTTTATGCTGAGGTTGATATTAATTCCTGACTCTGTTTTCATGTATGTTATAACTTCAAAATAAAGCTATAAATACATCTCTGTCTATCCCTTTTTTGAACCGGTAATAATTTAGTATTTATTTTAACCACAACACAAATAAGAGGCAAACTTTTATTTCACATTTATTTACTCACTCCTTCTAGCTAAAATAAACCACTCTACCACTTCAGTGAATGATAGTCAGTTGACAAGGAATGTACTGAATGAGTTTTAGTTCTGTGTGTCTGTGTCTCAGGCACTGACTTGAGCTCTGGAGCTGCTCTGGAACTTTTTATTCCAATGGTAATTCCAACAGTTATAAATGAGCATATAAAACCATTTCCATATAGTTTTATAACTTACCTAAGCAAATACAGCATCAAATATATACTGTATATTTTTAAAAAGGTGAAAAAACACAAAAAACATTCTTTGAAGCAGACTTGCTAAATATTTTTCAGTTTACGTTGATAAACCCACTCTGGTGGTCAATAACTGCTACACACTCACATATACAGTTCATTTTTAAATGTTTTTACTGATTTTAGAAATGTATTGTGATTTATTTTGTAGCTTATGATACTTATTATCAATTAGGCTAGTGTGCCAGCTACAGTAGATATCAAAGAACACTGTAACATATTGAGTCAATGCACTCCATGGCACCTTTAATGTTTGGTAAATATAGAAAAAGACGTGCGTTTTTCTTTCACCTTCACAAGATATGCGCCATCAGACTCTGGAAGAGCAGCAATGACTTGATCCTGGAGATTCTCATCACAGCTGTTGTTCATGGGAGCATCTTCCTCTTCATCAGGGAAACGTACTCCACCTTTTGAAGTGGAGCCTGGAGAAGAGAAACAGGAGCTGAGTTAAGATCATTACAGAGATGGAAACTGGACCAGACGATGTGTGCTGAGATGATTAATCCAGTGTGGGAGAGCTGTCAGAACAAACACACTCTGCATGTGTTAACCGCAGAACATATAAATACACACGGCACATTTAAATACAATCATAATCCACAAGCTTTCTTTATAATGCAGAGTTGAAGGTGAAATTAATAGCCCTCTTGTTAATTTTTTATTCATTTTAGTGTTTAGCACAACAAGGAAATTGTCACTGTATTTCCTTTAATTTTTTTCATCTGGAGAAAGTCTTGTTTCAGTTTAACAGAAATAAAAGCAGTTTAACTTGTTTAATAATTTAAGCAGTTAAACTTGATAGTAAGGTCAATATTATTATTAGAAATCATTTTATTCAACTGGCTACAGAACTAACAACTGCTGTCCAAAGGTTTGCCTATTAGACCTGGTTAAGCCTTTAAATTGCACTTTAAGCTAAATAGTATTTTGTAAAATATCTGGTAAAATATTATTACCTCTCGTCATGACAAAGACAAAATAAATAAGTTATTAGAAATTAGTTATTAAAGCTATTATGTTTAAAAATGTGTCCAAAAAAATGTCTAGGAATTAAAATTTTACAGGAAGGCTAATAATTTTGACTTGCGCACTCTCAGAAATAACGGTACATGAGCTGTCACTGAGGTGATACCTGTTCAGAAGGTACATGTTTCTTAAAGAGTACATATTGGTACTTCAAATATATATATATTGGTACCTAAAAACTTTAAGAGGAACACTTTTGTACTTTTAAGGTGCTAATATGTCCCCTTGAAGTATTAATATGGACCTTTTAAGTCAAAATTTGTACCCTTTAAAAAGCTACTACCCCAGTGACAGCTTGCGTACCTTTATTTCTGAGAGTGCATGTACTGATATATTCACACATTATGAACAGAAAACACACTGACTTTTCCTTCCTGTTGCCATGTCGACATAAGGCCAGGGAAATCCAGGGATGATTATTGGCACCGAAGTGTTTTCATCTCTAAAGAACAGACACCGAGTCACAGAGAACGACCCCTGCAGAGACAGAGAAGATGCCTGTGAAATATAACACTCTTATTTATTTAATCGTGATGTTTTAGATATGAAAACAAAGACAAAATAAACTACTGAGTGTTTGGTTTCCTTTTGATAACAGTTCTTCTAAGGATGTAAAGATATGTGTAAAATAGTATGTAAATGGCATTTAGATATTAATAAAAACCAAATGAAATGCTGCAAATGCCTACTAAAACATGTTTCTTGGTCATTTTTGTAGCTCGTTCTAACATTCCATTGCAATCAGGTGCAACACTAATTTTATTGAAGACTTTAAATTCATGCATGTTATTTCCCCAAGATCTAAATTATTAATTGCGCAGCCCATAAGCACGGTTGATTTGCATTTCATTGACTTTGCAGTATAATCCTGCTGGGTTAAACACCACAGGACGGAGCTTCCCCACAACTGTAACGCTTTATCACCATCATTAATTCCCAGTAGTAACTGGAGTTAATATGGCAAATCCTCAGAGTAATCATTCATGATGCCTGTTATTTGCCCTGCCAATTATTATGCTCCAGTATCCTACATCGAATACTGAACTGGAGTTTAAGATCAGTTCTCAATTGCTTAATTTCAGATTTAAAATGCCACCAGTAACAAAAATACATTGATTATGTTGATTGCTGATTTACTGTATACTTCATACTAAAATCTTTTTTGCCAATGATAATGCACAGTTACTTATATACCCATAAATGTATATATACTAGGTATATTAACTACTGAAGCTATTGCTATACTACTATAGCTGATTTTTTTTTGTATATACAATTATATAAAAATATCTATTTTTTTCATTCATTCACTTTCTTTTCGGCTTAGTTCCTTTATTAATCAGGGGTCACTACAGCGGAATGAACCGCCAACATATCCAGCATATGTTTTACGCAGCGGATGCCCTTCCAGCCGCAACCCAACACAGGGAAACATACACTCTTGCATTCACACACATACACTATGGACAATTTAGCTTCCCCAGTTCACCTACACTGCATGTTTTTGGACTGTGGGGAAAACCGGAGCACCTAGAGGAAACTCATGGCAACAAAAGGAGAACATACAAACTTTACAGAGAAATGCCAAACTACTCTGCCAAGGCTTGAACCAGCGACCTTTTTGCTGTGAATCAATCAGGCTTCCCTCTGTGCCACTGTGACGTCCTATATTTTAATTGTGTATCATATTAATGTTTTAACCCCAGTAGTTGTTATCGTTGTCGTTTTTGCCAGTTTTAAAAACATATTTTGGAAAAACAGCCTAAAGCATTCAAGATTTACAAAAGTGTACGTTGAAAACTTTACTGTCTCTTTCATTCTCAAAATCTAGTGACTGCCACTGCATAACTACACAACCTGACAAAAGTCTTGTTGTCCAACCAAGTTTTAGGAACAACAAATAATGGCTTGACTTCTAGTTGATCATTTGGTATTCGAAGTGGCTTATATGAAAGGCAAAGGTCTCTAGATCATACTTGTTCAACCCAAATAAAATATGATCATGGCTCGATTTTTATTTATTTAATTAGAACAGTAAGGTCTGACTTTGCCTAGACAAAACTCTTGTCACTTAGCAGAAATAATGTACAGTATAAAATATAAGCTTGGAGGACTGCATCTACATCTCTGCAATACTCTAACTTATTAATAAAGTCATCTGGAATGGCAAAGAAAGCATTCTTGCAGGACTCCCAGAATTCATCAAGATTCTTTGGATTCAACTTCAATGCCTCATCTTACCCCAGAGATGCTCAATAATGTTTATGTCTGGTGACTGGGCTGGAAAATCCTAGAGCACCTTGACCTTCTTTGCTTTCAGGAACTTTGATGTGGAGGCTGAAGTATGAGAAGGAGCGCTATCCTGCTGAAAAATTTGCCCTCTCCTGTGGTTTGTAATGAAATGGGCAGCACAAATGTCTTGATACCTCAGGCTGTTGATGTTGCCGTCCACTCTTCAGATCCTTCGCACAGCCTCATACTGAATGTAACCCCAAACCATGATTTTTACTTTGCCAAACTTGACTGACTTGGTGAGAATGTTGGGTCCATGTGGGTTCCAATAGGTCTTCTGCAGTATTTGTGATGATTGGGACGCAGTTCAACAGATGATTCATCTGAAAAAACTACCTTCTGCCACTTTTCTATGATCAACTACAAGTTATTATTTGTTTCTCTTACAACTGAGATCAATGACAAGATATTTGTCAGGTAGTGCATAATTTTGCACCGTAAAATCCCATAAAAACAAAACAAAATTAAATTAATACTTTACTAGAATAAACTGTATTCAATCCATTTCACAGAAAAAAAATTCTATATATTTTTCAAATAAAATAAATAACAATTAAAAAATTTGTAAAAATCTAGAACATTTAAATATGACATCACAATAGTTGACGACATGGTGGCTCAGTGGTTAGCACAGCAAGAAGGTCTCTGGTTCGAGTCCCGGCTGGGTCAGTTGACATTTCTGTGTGGAGTTTGCATGTTCTCCCTGTGTTGGTGTGGGTTTTCTCTGTGTGTGTAACCCCGCCGGTCCTACGCCACCCAACTCGCTCCGAGCTGGTATCGAACCTACGACCTCCTGTATGGGAGTTGGTTGTTCTACCAAGGAGGCTAAAGACCATGACCTCTAGCAAGAGCACCTTTAGAGGTCAGAGGAGTGAGGTTTAGCTGCACAGCACACACTAGCTGGCCTCCGTTACACTCACCCCCCTAAACCTCACTCCCATCCGGGTCACGGCACCAATGTAACCCCACCGGTTCTACGCCACCCATCCTGCTCCGAGCTGGTATCGAACCGGCGACCGTCCGCATGGGAGTTGGTTGCTCTAACAAGGAGGCTAAAGACCATGGCCTCTAGCGTCTGTCGCTAGAGCACCTTTAGAGATCAGAGGAGTGAGGTTTACCTGCACAGCACACACTAGCTGGCCTCCGTTACACGTGCTCCGGTTTCCCCCACAGTCCAAAGACATGCGCTATAGATGAATTGGGTAAACTAAATTGGCTGTGCATGGTTTATGTGTCTGAATGAGAGTGTGTATGGATGCTTCCCAGAACTGGGTTACAGTTGGGTTACTGGAAGGTCATCCACTGTAAAAAAAAATTGGATAAGTTGGCGATTCATTCCTGATGAATAAAGTGACTAAGCCGAAGGAAAATGAATAAATCACAATAGTTCATTCCTTTAAACATTTTAATATATAACATTTATAAAACAATGAACAAAAATGTCTTGGCATGCATATATTCAGTAATAACTGCCAATTTAATCAAATAATCAAAATTTTATACCCTGTTATCTTTGATTTAGCGCCATAAATGATGTTGGCTGACTGTAGAACTCCGTGTACCAACCTGCAGAGCTACACCTGCCCCTGATTGCTCCCCCTGTAGACCAACGCAGATGGGATTTCAGAGCCCTTCTGATTAATAATGACCAAAACAAGCGATTTCACATGAAAATCTTTGGCTTAATCGAGGTCATTACGGCAGTCCAGTCAAGGTTATTTCAGAGAATGACACTCACATTCAAACTAAGAGGCTTATGATGCCGCTCGCTCTCTCATCCTGACTGACTTGTTCCCAGCTATTCTTCCGAAATCGCGTCAAATATGACGATAAGAAAAAGCGGCTTAAGCAGCTATAATCACTCTGAAGTTACCGGGGCTGTCGATAAAATAGGGCGTCCCCGAGAAACCTGCCTTTCGCCGGATAAACAAACCCTTCAAAGCCACAGCCTCACGACAAGGCATCTCCCCTTCATCAATTATTAAAGTACAGCGCTTTATGCTCCGTGTAAAAATGGGGCATCACTGAGCATCGCGTGCCAGTGTCCCGTACGGCGCAGCTGTCAGGAAAAACACAATATCAAAAGAAGACTGATTTGCACAAAATGTGAATTTCTATCATAACTACAGGCTATTCCTTGTGTTACATTTGGCACAGACAGAATACACCTGGGAGGAATGTTATCTTGTGATGCGGTAATGAAGAACTGTTAGGGTTCAGGGTGGAATTGTGATGCTTCTATTAATAGTTCACGCTTTTAAATAAATAATAAATGCATAAATGAAAAACAAATACTGCAATGCAACGAGGGTTGCTTGCACACACTGACTATATTAGCCAAATTCACGTGTGAGTATCGAAATTTCAATAAACTGAAATGAACTGGAAATCAAACTTACCTATGTTGGGTGTAGTGCACGGGGGAGCGGGTCTGTGGCGTCGCCTGAAGCGTTCACTTCTCGGTCGCGAGCGCAGCAGGTCTGACGCCGCGCGCGGTCACAAGAAACAAGCTGCAGTCATTGGTTACTGTTGGTTACTTAACGTCCATCTCTCGTTTTCTCCCTCTCCCTCATCATATAGGCTACACACCGAATGTGTTGACAGGAGAAGCAATGCAAGGATGGATTAAGGTCCTGGCCAGTGCGCATATAGCAAACCTGAATGAGCCTATAGGTCCTTAAAACGTCTGTCTGACAATAAAACTGCATAGAAACACAACCAGTTATTTAAGAAATGATCAAGATAATAAATTGATACATTTAGTTTGCAGTAAAGAATAAATTTGGTTTTGAGTTGACTTGATAGGATGAGGATGCATGATACTGCAATTACATTTAGGCTAACATCAATGTGAGAAAATCTAATCAATTCTTAGCCCTTGTCAAGGTCATCCAAATGTATACAGCACTTTTTTTTAAAGTATGTTTTTATATATGAATGTGATTGTATTTTGCTTTTTTTTTTTACTTGTCAGTTTGTGTTGACAGCAAATTGCTTGTTAAATTGTTTAAAAATTGATGGGTTTTTTTTGTTTTATTTTCTTAAGATTTCAAGACAGTCCAGTAACAAATTTGCTTTTGTTAAAATGGCACATTGATTTAAGATAAAATCTTTTTCCCAGTAGACAAATTGATTTAGGTTGACTAAACTAGGAAATAATATACAAGTTATTTTCCTTCCACTTCGTCCCTTATTTATCAGGGATCACCACAGTGGAATGAACCGCCAACTATTTCAGCATACGCTTTTATGCAGCAGATCAACACATCAACAATAAACAAGTTTACAATAACATTTCTGAATTGAGATTCAAAAATCCAAAACGTGCCCTGTGTTCATAACTGTCCAGGCATGTAAACAAAGAATTAAGTGTCATTTAAAGACTTCTAGAAAATAATTCTCTCTGTACTGTATATATATTCATTTATTTTCTTTCGGCTTAGTCTCTATACACTATGTCATTTTAGTTCATCAATTTCACTTATACCACATGTCTTTGGGCTGTGGGGGAAACCGGAGCACCTGAAGAAAACCCACCAGAACACGCGGAGAACATGCCAACTCCACACAGAAACGCCAATTAGTCCAGCCGGAATTTGAATCAGTGACCTTCCTGCTGTAAAGCGACAGTGCTAACCACTGAGCCATCGTTCCGCCTTATAGCTGGACTGAAAAAAGTTCATTTCAACAAGGTATTTTTAAAAATGGAAATAAATTGTTTTTACAGTGTAATCATATATACAGCTCTAAGCCAGTTTACAAAAGGAATTTTATCATATAAAACTGATATTTTGAGGAATGATAGTAAGCAAAAATGTAATAGTTCCTATTAATATGAAATATACTGTGGAAGTCAAAGGGGATTCAAACATTTATATTGTATACATTTTGTTCAGAAAAAAAGTCTGTGACTGTATACATGCAAAACCTAAATTAACATCCTTATTTACATATTTGCAATGTCAACACATGGCTTGTTCACATAACAGTTCTAGTGCTGCACATCATACACTGTAAAAAGGAATTAAATCCTTTACTATAAAAAGTGAATAAACCCGTTGTAACTGTTACGTTGACCTGATTATTTTTTTAATTCATGCACATAATTTATTTATTTAATAATTATAAAGCAACATGTTTACATACATTTTAAAGCAAAGTCAGCTAATCACCTTTTACAGTGTATATTATTTCAAACCATGGTGTGTTTTTTCCTGAATGACACTTTCACTGACTATAAAGGTGAGAATGAAATGGTCTCGTTTTACCCTGGATAGCTAAAACCATTGTTTACACTAAGCCCTGTGTATCCAAGACTGTACAAAATAAGGTACATTATCGGTTCTTACAATCTAATCATTGTAACACCACATTGTTTTACACATGTCTGGCACCACAATGGAATGTTAAAGGGTTATATCACGCAAAAATGAAAATACCTTTATCAATTCCTCAGCCTTTTATTGTTGCAAACTCCTGAGATGTTTTGTTTTTCTTTTTTAAATACTAATTAAGATGTTCTGGATTAAATCTGAGAGCTCCTTCATTCATCTTAGATAGCAAGGTTCCCAACTCATTCAAAAAACATATTCAATACAGACCATATGCCTTCATGGACACTTTTCAAAAGACTGTTATGAAGCACTTAACGCTCATCAGCAACTTAACTCCTTGAAGGTTTTGAATACTTGGATTTTTTTAAAAATGTATGTATATTTATAAGTATTTACGTATTATATCATCTTCGTATGGAATTACAAAAAAACGAATTAGCACTTGTGAGAGGGGTTTCTAATGCAGCGTTTATGGACAGGACAGCAAACTTGATGTTTTTCTCTATTCTGGCGGCTGTTATCAATCTCACAATTTTTTTTCCATTTTATGAAATTTGATAACACCATCGTGTAATTTTTCTTGTATTATTTCAGCAAATAAGATTGTAAAAAAATATTTGTTGTACTCTCTGCGCTCCAAGTTTACCCTACTATGATGCCTTGTGCTGCTGAGACACCCAGAAATATGTAAAGGGTCTATTGGTTCAACCGTAATGTTATCAAGCTGCAAGAATACTTTAACAAAAAACTTTTAAAATAACAACATTTCTTCTTTTCAGTGTCAGTATATTGCACACATTCACTGTGCACTGATGTATACCCCCAGAAAACTTATAGAGGATGAGAGAGCTCTCAGATTGCTAAAACGTCTTAAATTTGCAATCCGAAGATGAATAAAGGTTTCAGGGTTTTGGAATGACACAATGCTGATTTTACTAATTGCAACAACATACAAATTAACTAATTAGCTCTGAAAGGGCAAGTTCACAGTTTAGAGTCCGGTGCTTTACTGATATTCAACCATTTCCATCTGATTTCAGGAATGATTTAGACAAAGGGTTAGGTTAAGGGTAGGGATTAGGTTTGGATTAAATGTTCGGACAGACAGCATGTTCCAGCATCAGCAAATTATGTTGACCATGGAACATGTCGAAATCAGACAGCAAAAGCTATTCAAACCCTCCAGAGCAGGCATCCATAAGACTGAACTGGCAATACTAAATTACAGGTGTTAACAGCAGCAGAAGATATACAGAAATATAATAGATGCTGTCAACTGTGTTTGTTTTTGCTGAATGTAAAAAAGACATTTAAATATTATATATATATATATATATATATATATGCTTTGGTTAAGCTAGATAAAATAAAGATGTTATTTAAAATCATTATGTAATTATTTAATCAATAAAGGCTAACAGTCATCAGAGAACAGATATTGTTACAACACAAAGGGAAGATACATTAAATAAAGGGTATGCTGGCATGTAAAAAAATGAGACATTAATAATTTACAATAAACATTTCAATCTTATGCAACATTAAGAAGTTTATGATAAATAAGTGGGAAAGTTCAGCCAAAAAAGAAAAATTCTGTCATCATATACTCGTTTTTTCCTTTTTCCTTTCCGAAGATGAGGAAGGCTATGGAGTCAATCTAGGGTCATATATACTTGCAAAATAAATGAAAGTTTTGCAAACAAAGAATAAAGTATGGAGCAAAAAATAAATAAATAAATGCAAATCTCAAAAAATCGCTAAGCAAAAACTTATTTTTGAGAAATTAAAAGACATTTTGCTAATAAAAATAAAGAACTGCAGAGGGAAAATTATGTGTTGAGCAATAAAAATTAAATTTGCAAACAAAAAAAGAAAAAAAATCTAAAATATTTGCATATAGTCAACTGTGATCAGCGATGCTGTTTTCACTTTGCACTTCACCTTTCTGCGTGTTTTACTTTGTGGCCCTGATTTGACAAAAAGGGCTGAGTCAAGGGAACTTCATCTGCCTCCATTTGAGCATCATCTCCTGGAAACACAGTATCATAGAGGTGCTCTACAGCCCAGTAGGTCTGGGCCTGCCGTAAACGGCCAAGTGCCCTTGACTCAACCCCTTTGTCAAATCAGGGTCACAAAGTGAAAAGTGTTGGATATGTTGACGGTTCATTCCGCTGTGGTGACCCCTGATTAATAAAGGGACTAAGCCGAAAAGAAAATGAATGAAGGAATGAATCAATGTTGGAAACCAGTAACCATTGACCAATAGTAAGAAAAACAAATACTATGAAACGCAATGGTTACAGGTTTCCAGCAGTCTACAAAATATCTTCTTTTGAAATTTAATTCTTTAAAAAAATTAGTAAATAATGAAAAAATTGACATTTTGGGTGAACTATCCCTTTAAAGGTGAGGAATGCTTTGCTATTTATATATATATATATATATATATATATATATATATATATATATATATATATATATATATATATATAAAACCATTGAGATGATGAAATGATCACATGAAGTGTAACTTAAACTACATCATTGTTCGTAATTTGATATAAAAAAGTCAAGAACTAATAAACCCTGAGCAAAACAGTTTCCGTCCCACTATTCTAACCAGCTTGGGTCAGCCACAAAAGGAGGACAAATAATAAGTGGTGCTTCGTTTTTGCCAGATTTGTTGGTGCACGGGCTAAAGAAAGGATATAGAGTCTCTGAAAAGGAGTCTGTGTAAGTAAATATCAACGTCTTTGTATCTGCATTATAAAAAGACAACTGGCCTCTCTCATAGTCCACACTGACAGTGATCCGCTGCGGTTTTGGATTTACGATTATAGGTGTCGATGGCTCTGTGCGGAAGACATAATCTTGCTTGTCACGTAGACTTAAGAACCAGAATCCATTAGCAGGGTTGGCGGCTATTTTGCCTTTCCTGTTGATGGTGCGAGCAGCAATGCCCAAATCCCAGTCCGTCTTGTCACTCACCAGGACCTCCCAGTAATGGCAGCCGGAGTTGATACCTTGGCGGCCCAGAACACACACCACACGGTCGAATCGCTCGAGTGTGTCTGGCACATTCTGGTATCGGTCACTGCACAGCACCTGCTTCCCATCCTCCGAGATGACCAGACGGGGGTGAGCCGAGTCTTTGTCTAGGGTCACGTCCACTGGGAGACAAACAGAAGGAGCTGTTGGCTGGCATACAAATGAAAGCGCTCATAGAGTGGGGGAAATAAGTATTGAACATGTCATGTTTTTTCCTGGGAATAATATTTTTAAAGGAGATGTTGATGTAGAATTGGACCAGATTTCGGTAAAAACCCAAAGAATACGAACATTAAAATTACACAGAGTAAAAAATTTGAAAAATGAGTGTGTAGTAACAATGGATGACACAAGGAGAAAGTGCTGAACTACTGAAATGTATTTAACACTTTACATAAAAGGCTTTTTTGGTGATGACAGCTTAAAGATGCCTCTTATATGGAGAATGAATCCACATGCATTGCTCAGGTGTGAGTTTTTCACAGACTTCAACAGAGTGTAAAAATCTTGATGGTTATGCGGGTCTCGTCTATCAAAGCTGAGCTTTATTTTGTATTTTCTATTGGATCCAAGTGAGTTAATTGGCTGGGCCATTCTACAGCTTGATTTTCTTTCTCTAAAAGCATTTGAGAGTGTCCTTGGCTGTGTTTTAGATCCTTATCACTGGTTCCATCCTTATGATCATGATAATGTAGATGTTGGACTGAAGCAGCTAATATTAATTTACAATGATGAAGATGCAATGCTTGCTGAAAATAGAGATTTCAGATGCTGTCTGGGCATTCACTGCCTTTCTTCACCTCCCTTTCTTCATGTGTTCAATGTTTTTTTGCTGTGTCATTTAATTTTATTACACAAAACTTCATTTGTAAACTGATTTGTTCTGTTTTCTTTGTGTTATTTGATTGTTACAAATGTCAAGTCAACAGCACCTTTAGAAAAATGTTTTCTGAGAAAAATGGTGACGTGTTGAATACTTATTTCCCCCACTGTAGAAAGACTGTATAACACTGTATAAACAGGATTCCCACTCTAAGCCAAATAATAAATTCCCTGTTTCCCCCCTGATTTCATCCGAATAAAATCTGCATTTCCATGATCTACAATAAAAGGAAAAACAGCTGTAGTTCTCAGTGGTTTTAGCTTGAATATCATTTATAGGAGAACAACACTGAATAATTCACTTCAGATTTTGGTAAAAATAGAAGGTAACTTCTGTTTACGTGCACGGCTTCAAAGTACTCCCTCTATCATATTTGAAAGCTCAATAGCAGTTTTACAAACATTATATTTAACTTTTATGTCATTTACTTTTTAACACCCAGTTTTTGGAGTGGTCATTTTGAAGCCAAAGCTTCTAAAGCCTATATTATCCGAATATCTATTTTGACACACAGTCTTATAACTACATTTGACTTCAGTGACTGCCATTGATGAGCATAAAATTAATAACATAAAGCTGAAAAGTAGCCTAACCATAAGCATTTTGTAAATAAAAAATATGATGTAGAAAAAAATTTGATCAATGAAAATGAACTCTTTTAAGTGACAAACATATTTCATATGATATTCCATGTCTTAGACAAAAAAAATATATTATTATATTAATATATTAATATATTAAAACTTCCTGACTTTCAAAATCTAGAACAGATATTTCTAAAATTCCATGTTATGTCATAAATTCCATGATACGAGGGAACCCAACATAAACATTTGGAAATATGTTTGGTCTATGTTATTTAGAAACATAAATAAACACATACTTGCAAATCCTGGTGCTCTCCACACACCTAGAGTTAAAGAAAAGTTACAAATATTGCAGGATTAAATGCTTTTGCAGAACACTTAGTAATGCAAACATATACACTACCGGTCAAAGATTTGGGATATCAAGCAGCAATTTTCAACAGTAATAATAATAATAATAATAATAATAATAATAATAAGCATTATTATAACAAATAGTTCAACCCAAAAATTTATTCTGCTATCATTTACTCACAGTCAACAACAAGAAAAAATGACATTGTTAAATATATTGAACAGTATTATAGAAAATGCAGTTACATGTAGCGACATTAACTTTTATCTTGAAAAAAAAACTTACTTTGTTGATACACTCCCAGCGATCTTTCTGTGGAAGGGTGCAAACCTAAAACCACAACAGACACAATTAAAATAAAAAATAAAAAACATTTAACTTATGCATTTAATATAATATTTGTGTGTATAAGTGCTACCAATTTAACCCAAAAAATCCTTTTACGAAAATAAAAATATTGTCATTGTTTACTTATCTGATTCGTTCTATGATATTACTGATTTAATATTATACTGTACATTATGCAGAATATTAAGGAGAAAAATTGCGGAAAACATCTGTCATACACCAGGAAGCGAACACAGAACACAAGTAACACTTTTAGCTAATTGTCAAACTAATATGTTTTGTTTAAACTAAAATATTAGATTAATAACATTTATGTCTTAACATTTTATTGAATTCTTAAGGTTGTAAGTGTAATCAAAACAGACAAATGGTGCACATGTCAAATAAAAACAAAGTTGTAAAAAATTCAAGGACCAATTCAAGAAGCAATTTTCACTTTTAACTAGTGGCTTATTTCCTGCCTATTATTGATATTGGCAGTTTAGTGCTAATAAAGTATAAATTCAGCATAGTTATTCTTATTTTATACTTATCTCTAATCCTACCTAAACCTAACTACCTTAATAATAAAAATTAAGCAGCAAATTAGGAGTTTATTGAGGCTAAAGTCATATAATTTGTTGATGGAGTGACCGTGAAAACGTACACTCAAAAAATATTTTTGTTGCTTGTCTAAACTACTTATTCAAAATGAGGTAAAATTCTTGAGATTTTGTTGGGACAACTTCATTGTTTTAAGTTCAATCCAATTTACATTCAATTTGTAAAAACTATTCAGTTAACTTAATCGATTTGTGTTGACACAACATGAAGGAATTGTGTGAAACCCAGCACTTTTTACAGTGTAGGTTGCCACGACCTATTGATCACATCATGTTTTACAATGAGTTGAAGAGCAGTTTCTCTTACAGATCTCCGAGAGTCTCCTCAGGCCTTGTCGAACCTCCTCCACCATCTGAGAGACGTTTCTTAGCACCACGCCTGCCGTGGGGTCAGGAGTCAGAGCCACCTCTGCCCAGCTCTTCATCACTGGTAAACTAGTGTGGGCGGAAAATGTCTGAAAACAAACAGCAAAACGCGAAATATTGGCTACTTATTGGAGTAACAATGGTGAAAACAAAGTAGGCAAGCTTATTTATGTAAGGATAAATTCTCTTAGGCAAGTCTATCTTTTTTTAACCGCTAAAAGTGTTTTATTCGTGGTGTTATCTCTACTTGTAAGGGAACCATTATAACACAGTGATTTCCTCAAATATGTCAATCACTTTCCAGCTCGACCAATACCATAAGATTGGGACGTGGCTGCTATAGCAGGCAGATTGTGTTTAGGCATGTACAGTTAAAGACAGGGATTAGCCCTTCTGTGTGAATTTTTTTTTTCATATGCATTTACAGGGGCGGCTTGGTGGCTCAGTGGTTAGCACTGTCACCTCACATCAAAAAGCTCGCTGGGTCGAGTCACGGCTGGGCCAGTTGGCATTCTATGTGGAGTTTGCATGTTCTCTCCGTGTTTGTGTTGATTTCCATTAGGTGCTCCGGTTTCCCCCACAGTCCAAAAACATGTGCTATAGGTGAACTGGATAAGCAAATTTGGCCCTAATGCGTGTGTAAATGTGAGAGTGTATGGGTGTTTCCCAGAACTGGGTTGTGGCTGGAAGGGCATCTGCTGCATAAAACCTATGCTGGAATAGTAGGTGGTTCATTCTGAGTAGATTATTTTTAACAGGTTTATTTACTAATTTTACACACTGTTAACAATTCTCGAATCCACAGTAATTTACTGGCAGTGGCTCACCAGTAATTTACTGTAAATCAATACAGCAAAAATACTGTCTTGCTGCTTATGTATTTACAGGATTGTATATTTTTACTGTAAAATGTACAGTCTTTTTCACGATGCAACTTTAAGTTAGCCAACTAAAAATATCACCTGATGGAGGAAAAGTGATTGACCTTAGCAGCATTTCTTTCTCTTTATTTCATTATTTTATTTATGATTTTAGCCAAATTAAAGGAAATTAAAGTTTCTCCAGAAGAAAATCTAATAGGCAATACTGTGAAAATGGCCTTTTTCTGTCAAACATCAAAATATTTGAAAAAGAATAAATATTCAGTAAAGAGCTAGCAATGTTTTCTTCAACAGTATAAGATAATGATTGAGGTGTTACATTGGGGGAAACTAAATCAAATCTGCTTAAACAATGCAAGTCAAGCTTTCAAAGTATATAGAGACAGACACCAGGGTTAAACAGGACACATTTCTTTCTGACAGGTAAGCTAAATTCAAGTGTTTGCCACATGTTCACTGTTTACTGTCAAGCCACATTTAAAGCAGGACAATTTTGCAAGGATAATCCTCAGATTATGTCTCTTTATGTGAGAGGACGCTGTGAAGGTTGCAACAGTCGTTTGTTTAAAAATATCATGTTTGTAATCCTGTTAAATAACATAAACGGAGCAGAAAATACATGCGTCGCCTGCAGATTTTCATTCAGTCTATTTATTTACTTATAAAAATGTGTGTAAACATATGTTTACTCAGTGTTTATATTAATTTCAGTAAAATTACTGAATAATACGCAATTGTTTAGATGATATATGTGCTATACAATTACTAAATCAATATTTTCTGTCTTTTAGTGAATGTATTACACAGTGAGATACCTGCTGTAGCTTTGTTTACCAACTAGTAGCTCTAGTTTATAAAGTTTCTAATAAAGTTAGTTTGATTTATTTTATTTTTTTACACATTTCTTTGCAGAAATAGCTAAAAACTGTTTGCAGATTCTGTCTGGCTCTGATTATATCAGTAACTACACTGTAAAAGGCAATTAGTTACAGTACATTCCAAAAAGTGAGTAAACACCTTGCCATGAAAGCCACATGTTGATTTTACTCTTAAAAAAAGGCAGTAAACTCACTGATCTAACTTTATGCAAATAGTTTGTTTACTTAATAATTATAAAGCAGCGAGTTCACTCTCTTTTTCTATGTAAAGTCAACTTATCCCTTTTAAAAGTGTAAAGCAGTTTACCTTGAAGAAAGTAAGATGGTCTTGGGATTGGGTCAGCTGATTTATGGTGCTGCATCTGTTTTTCAGGTCTGAGATCTCTGTCTGCACCTCACGAATGAAGGCCTGAGACCGCAGTTCGGCGGCCCGCTGTCCCATCTCCACCACCTCCAGCAGTTCAGCCTGCGACTTCTCAACCGATTTCATTAATTCAGCAAACATACTGATGGTGCCTGCTTTCTCTCGTTCCGCATTCACCTTACAGCAAGCGAAAGACATAAAACAGCTATAAGAATTAAGAGAATGAGGAAACTGTAAAATGTGTTTTATTTCTCTTTATGAATCACCCATCATCAAAAACAGAAAAATAGCATCATTAAGTCACCATCATGTTTTTTAAACCCATATGGCTTTTTTTTGTAGAACCAAAATCTGAAAAGAAATTCACACACATCTTGTTTAACCTAAAACCTTTGTCAGACTTTGTGTAAAAGTGAACTGCTGAAAAACGTGTGTGAATCAACAATAACATTTTGTCAGTGTCTGTCAGGATATAGAAATCTGATATATTTGACAATATATGCAAATAAAAGTTTATGTTTGGATTTCACCGACATAATATGTGTCATATATGTACATTTATACAACATACCCTCACCAGCCACTTTATTAGGTACACCTTATTACTATTGTTTTGGACCCCCTTTTACCTTCAGAACTGCCCTACTCATTTGTGGCATAGATTCAAAAAGGTGCTGGAAATGTTCCTCAGAGACTTTGGTCCTTATTGACATGACAGCATCACACAGTTGCTGCAGATTTGTCGGCTGCACATCCATGATGCGAATCTCTCATTCCACCACATCTCAAAGGTGCTCTATTGGATTGAGTTCTGGTGACTGTGGTGGCCATTAGAGTACATTGAACTCATTACCATGTTCAAGAAACCAGTCTGAGATGATTCACGCTTTATGACATGGCACGTTATCCTGCTGGAAGTAGTCATCAGAAGATGGGTACACTGTGGTCATAAAGGGATGGACATGCTCAGCAACAATACTCAGGTAGGCTGTGACGTTGACACTATGCTAAATTGGTGCTAATGGGCCCAAAGTGTGCCAAGAAAATATCCTCCACACCATTACACCACCCTCACCAGCCTAAACCGTTGATACAAGGCACGATGGATCCGTGCTTTCATGTTATTGATGGCAAATTCTGATCCTACTATTCGAATGTCGCAGTAGAAATCAAGACTCATCAGACCAGGCAACGTTGTTCCAATCTTCTATTGTGCAATCTTGGTGAGCCTGTGTGAATTGTAGCAGGAGTGGCACCCGGTGTGGTCTTCTGCTCCTGTAGCCTATCCACCTTAAGGTTGGTCGTGTTGTGCTTTCAGAGATGCTCTTCTGCACACCTCAGTTGTAATGAGTGGTTATTTGAGTTACTGTTGCCTTTCTATCAGCTCAAATCAGTCTGGCCATTCTCCACTGACCTCTGGCATCAACAAGGCATTTGCACGCTCACTGGATATTTTCTCTTTTTCAGACCATTCTCTGTAAACCCTAGAGATGGTTGTATGTGAAAATCCCAGTAGATCAGAAGTGTCAGAAACACTCAGACCAGCCTGTCTGGCACCAACAACCATGCCACGTTTAAAGTCACTTAAATCACATTTCTTTCCCTTTCTGATGCTCAGTTTGAACTGCAGCAGATCGCCTTAACCATGTTTACATGCCTAAATAATTTGAGTTGCTGCCATGTGATTGGCTGATTAGAAGTTTGCGTTAAAAAGAAGTTGGACAGGTGTACCTAATAAATTGGCCGGCGAGTGTATATTTCAAAATATTGCAAAAACTACCATTTACATATAGAAATGTTCAATGGTTAAATTCCCAGTATGTGAATTAGTATTATGCACAATCAAATATAATAAATATTCTAATAAATATACTGTACACATTGTAAGAGCCAATTATGCATAATTAATTTGTGATAATAATTTAGTTAAAAAGCTTAAAACATTATAAAAATTGATATTTAATTAGAATAAGAATTCATTGTGATTGTATTATTTAAAATGCATAATTTAATAAATGATATAATTTAAAAACCTTTACTTTGGTATTGTGGCGTCCGACAGCAATACTTCATGAGGTCATTAGTTCATACGTTTAAGTCAGATTGCAGTTATGGATGTTGGAAGCAACACAGTTTTTTGACCGAGCTGATCGAGTCTATTGTAACTTTGTATTTTTGTTTGCATTTCTTCAGTAAACCTTTTTTAAAAGAAGATTTGGTTTTACTCGTGTTTTTGCAAATACTGGTTGTTGGAATTGAAGCTGCAAAAGGTGGTACATAAGGATTTGCACGAAAGGTGTGCCACTACACACGTTTATATGACCTATGGCTTTCTGTTTGGGTCACAAAACTTGTGTGGCTTCAGAAGACTGCAGATGAATTTCACTGTTGTTCGTAGAGTTTTTGTTTTTTTAATTGGTATCCAGACAACATATAATTTGCACATGAGGATGAAGAGTTTTAACCAAGTAACAGGTTTATTATTCATTATGTAGACGGTCAGAAATCTGCTTGGTTTGAAAGTGACCTCCGTGTGAGCTGCGCTTCATTCTACAATACACTATTGACAACAGACAATTGGCTTTTTTGTCTGTGAAATTTCACTACCATAACCTCCTCTTTAGACTGTACTGCACAACGTTTATGCCATTTTTGTATTTGTAGAAGTCTTAAAAGACTTAGCAATAACACTTTACAATGCAAAACAGCAATAACACAATACAATGCAACATTAACATTAACAATGAACAGTATGTATATTACACTATTACTTAATCTTTTAGCATTTATTTAACACAACACAAATATTTAGTACAAATTAAGATTAAGATGCATTTTTCATTGTTAGTCAACATTAATAACATTTCATGGTTAATGGTAACAAATGAAATCTCATTATAAAGTGTTATCACAGTTCTTCAAAACATCCTCTTTTGTGTTTCATGGGACAAAAATAACAGCATATGGGTTTGGAACAACATGAAAATGAGCAAATAATGACATGTTTCTTTTTTGTTTTGGTTATTCCTTTAAAGCATAGACCTCAAACTCAAAACCTCAAAACAACTAATTGAGGTGTTCCAAAGAGTCACAAACATCTTTGCTAGTTGCATCAGCTGTGCTTAATTAGGGTAGGAGCAAAACTGTGCAGTGCTGCAGCCCTCCAGGCAGGCCCGGATTAGCTAATCGGGAGGACCGGGAGAATACCGTGTCCCTAGCTCGAGAATCTGTTGCTCTCAGCAGTCACACTTTTTAAATTTATTTATTTATTTACTTGACCACAGTCTTCTTATTCATTATTTTACCTTATTTAATTCATTTATTTTATTTTACCGCAGCTCTGCTCTTTTCATCTATTTTCTCGCAGCCTCGTGAGCAAGATGCAGCCTGCAGGTTAATGATGATCTAACTCAGATGAGTTACCATTCAATGTACAGCTGTTGTGGTCTAGTGGTTAGCACGTTAGGTTACGACGCCACCAACCCGGGTTTGATCCTCTTATGAGTAACTTATTTTTTCATATTTAATGTTAAGACATACAATACTGTTAGGGTTGTTGAACATTTGAAGTTCTAAAGCAGCTGTTTTCTCAAAAAAAGACGTGATAGTGTAATTAGAAACTGAATTGTAAATGACCTTATTTTAATATAGTCAGTCGTGAACTGAGGTGGGCCGGTCTGAGGCTTGAAACTCCAGGGCTGAAAAGGAGTCCCACTCCGGCCCTGCCTCCAGGAATTAAGTTTGAGACCTATGCTTTAAAGTCTGTGTGAACCAGAGGCTCCTAAGACTTTTATTTCAGCATGTTGTTAATATACTTAGTATATAACAGGATATTGAGTAGGGGCAGGGTTTTTTTTGTGCATCATTCCCTCATAGCAAACTTATGGTAAGAGGGGCGTGGTTATGACTATTGTTGTCAAACTGACATCATCAGAGAGGACCGACACTTTAAACATAGAGGCAAAAGGTCAAAATTTGATTAAAGATCATCAAAAAAAATAGTTTTTTTTGTGGATCAACTTGCACAATTAATTGTTTACCTACAGAATAACAATGACCACGTTTACATGGACATCGGTATTATTTGCCTTAATCTGAATAAGAAAATAATATGATTAAGGGGTTTAGATGAATTCCTTTTTGAATGTTCCTTTCATGATCCAGTTTTACATGTTACATTAGCACATAAATTGATTAACTTCGTTGCATCACCACGTTATCCATTTCATGTAATTTCGGCCGTTTCGTTTTTAATTTGTTTGATATTAACTGCAGTTTGGCGCTTTCACTTTCATTCAGGAACATTTCATGCATGCCCCCATGACAAACCAGATATTGGATGCGAGTATGACTTTCTGGAAGAGTGTAGTTTTAAATAAACTTGATACTGCACGCCGTATGGGAAAAAAACTCTCCGCATTTCACAATGCTGGTGTCTGTGGTCCTTCACTGACTCGGTAGGTGCAGTAAATAGTGTCAAACAGCAGTGTGTGTATAGAATATGTTTACATATCTGTACAGCGCTTCTATAATGTAACTAAAATCGGCATACTCCACGTCTTAATTCCATTTCTGTTTAGTTCGATTTTGACCTTAATCGAATTAAATTAATTTTAAAAAATAGCTGTTTACATAGTAGACTCTTAATCAGATTATTGTCTTAATCGTATTAAAATCGGATTATTGCTGGCGATGTAAACATACTCAATGTGTGCTACCAAAATAAATATTGTAAGTTTTGATTCCACACGGACTTTAAATCTTTATGATGGCATAAACACACATACTTGAATTTCAGCAAGTGATGTCTGGATCTCCTCTATTTTTCTCTCTCTGACTGTTATCAATCCTTGAAGCTCCACCTCCAGGATCCGCAACTGAGACTAAGCAGAGATACAAAATGAAGCTGTACATAAATAAATACTGACAATACTGAGCAAATCCAACATAAAGTCAGATTTATTTTAGAATATTTTTACATGTTTAAACATATTTAAACATAATTGGTTTAATAACTCATCTCTTATAACTGATTCTTTTATCTTTGCCATAATGACAGTACATAATGTTTTACTAGATATTTTTCAAGACACTACAGGGTTTCTGCAGGTTTCAATGAATTAAACTGAAGACTTTAAGACATTTTTAAGACCATTATAAAGGAAACTTTAGACACAAAAAGGGCCAACAAATTTTTTAAATGGCCCAGATGTAAAAGATTTTTATTTGCCCTAGCAAAATTTTTTTAGAATTTAATAATACAATAATAAATTAATATAAAAATGTAAATATTTGAATTTTTATTTTTCAGAAAATATTGTAAAAACAAGCAAGCTCTAGTTGTATCCATACACATTTTTTACAACATAAACTTTCTTTAAAATAAAAGAAAAAAGAACAAGTATTTTAAAAGTTTTAAAAACTATAATAAACTAAATTTATGCACAACAATTGGTCCAGGTCGATGTCCTCAGCAGTAAATACATGGAGAACTTTTAAACAATTGTAATTGTGAAGAAAATAATTAAACCATTATGATAAATAAAGTTAAAAATTACCTTTTAAAATAAAAGTTTAAGGTTTTATTGAGATGACTGTTGATGATTGTATGGGTTTTGGCCAGATTTGGTAGCAATACATGAACAAAAGAAAATTAAGACCTGTTTAAAAAAAGAGTAAAGACCTACAACACAATAGTTTAGTAAATTTAATACAATTTGAGGCCTAAAATTTGGATTTTGAGATTTAAGACATTTAAGACCCTGCAGAAACCCTGTACTAGTATTCAGCCTAAAGGGACATTTAAAGGCTTAACATTGTTATTTAGGTAAGTTTGTGTAATTAGACAAGTCATTGTATAATGATGGTTTACATACTATCGAAATAAAAAACATTGCTTAAGAGAACTAATAATATTGACCATAATTGTTTTTTTTTATTATTATTATTATTTAAAGCTGCTTTTATTCTAGCCAAAATAAAACAAATAAGAATTTCTTCAGAAGAAAAAATACTACATGAAATACTGTAAAAAAATGCTCTGTTTAACATAATTTGGGCAATATCTGAAAAAAATGAAAATAATAATTTTGACTTCAACCGTATAAATGTGCTTACCTTCCGAATATTCATCTCTCTCTTGGCCTCCGTCACAGTATGGCCGTAATGTTCGCTCTCTGCACACACTGCGCAAATACACATCAGGTCAGTCTTGCAGAGCAGCTCCAAACTGTAGCCGTGATTGGGACACTGCGGCCCGTTGGATCCCGCTGCGGTCACGCTAAAGTTTCGTCTCGGCATTTTGACATTGGGGAGGGACTGAGGATCGCCGGATGCTAAAGGCTCATTGGATGAGGATGTTGATGAAGATCTCTGCATGCGGGTCTTCATCTCCTGGAACAGGCCTTTAGGCAGCTCAACCGGTCTTTGCTGCACTCCAGGCTTCTGGGCAGAGAATGGGTTTGGAGGTGAATCTGTTGTTGCAGTTTTAGGCACGCTCACTGTGGTCTCGGCCATCCGCTTGAACTGCTCCGTGATCTCCTTGAGCGTGTGATTGACGTGGAGCTCGGGGCGCTTACGGAAGCTTTCTTTGCACAGAGGGCAGAAGCAAGTCTTTCCTTGGCCCTCCCAGTAGGAGGAAATGCACGAGGAGCAGAAGCTGTGGCCGCAGGGCGTGGAGACGGGATTGGTGAAGATGTCGAGACATATGGAACAGGTGAACTGCTCCTCTGACAGGAATTCACCAGGAAATGACATCGTACACCTGAGTGCGTGAAGACGGAAAAACACACAGAAATTCAGACACATCGTCTCCAGCATGTCAGACCAGAGATGTTTGTTTTTAGAATGTCTCTTTAAGATTGTGAAATTTGAATATTGATCATTTTTTCATGTTTTTTAATGTGTTTATTTAGGCTATATCTATGAAGGTAAATCCGTTGCGAAACTCGAGAGCTTGCAAATGTAAATGTGAGCACTTGTGATAATAATATTTGTATGTGTAGGTTGAAATGTACACTTACAGCTCTGATGTGAACAGCTGAAATCCTCGATTTGCACACACACACAACAACCCACACACTTGTGTTTTAAATTGGAAGTTGCAGATTAATAGTTGTGTATTTGTAAAATGTCATTCACAAATACAAAGTGACAGACACACGTGTGCAAGGCAAATTTGATTGCATCTTTGCTCTACAACCACAGGTCGGCACTCACAACCTCTCAGATTGGTCAGTACAACTACAAATCTCCCGCGCTCTGACTTTTGCAACACATCTCCCGCGATCTCTGTAGCAGAACTCATCTGTGCACTCGCAGATGCAGAGGCGTGAGCAGCGCGGGGCGGGGGAGGGGCGGGGCAGGTGTAAAGCTGTTTGATTGGCTGAAGCCTGACCAATGAACAATGCCAGCAGCCAACATGACTGAGGTGCAAAATAATAATTTCCCACGATTATTTCATTAGTTAGGGTTTATTTAAACTCTTTTCTGAAGAGATTCTTGTTAAAAATCATAAATTCTACTGTAATGTACATACCAGTAAAAGAGCAGCAAAGCCAGTTTATTGGCTACAGCCAGCCAATGAGATGGGGTGTTTCTGTTTGTCAGGACACAGGGCAGCTCACGTTGTTGGAGGCCTCGAGCAATCAGAGGGTAAGTTAAGATTTTTTAATAATTATCTATATGTTCAATACTGTTAGCTAAGCTAAGGACTGTGCTGGGTGCTTCTCTTGTTTGTTTCTTATATAAGAAAACAGTTATGAGTTATCTAGGAGCTGCTTTCAATCATGTTATATGGTTCTAAAGATACGATTCAACCCACATGAAATAAGAAGTTGTAATAGCATTTATAGTAAACAATATTACGTTTTTGAACCATACTAACTATAATAAACTGTATTATACTGTATATTTTGCAGTATCTACAACTTTGTTAATGAATGCAACAGCACACTGTAGTATTAACTAGCATGAACTTTAATGAATTGAAGTATATTTACACACACGCACACATTAATAGCAATTAAAAATAACACTAGGCGTTTCAGTTTCTTACAGATCATACCGGTTTTTGTTATTATAACCTGCATCATATCTATCTATCCATCTATCTGTTTACATGTTTGTGTACAGTGTGTCCTTTATGTCACTTTTTTAATTATGAAAGTTACTACCTTTATTTCTCAGTTTCCTGTAAGGATGGAGTGACAGGAGAGATCAGGATGTTTCAAGTCGATGAGGAACTCAGAGAAGCTGCATAGCTTGAAAAGGATGTTATTTATGCTAAAGATGACATGATGATCCAGCTCATCTACAAACACTTCAAAATAATTCAGATCATTCAAGAGGAAGCCGACCATTTATTTTCTCTTTTTACCTGCCAAGATGACTACAGATTTGAACAAAACACACACTCACCCACACACAACTTTTATTTTGATAATTGTTTAATGTAGTATTTTTACACTTTACTGTAAGGCAGGGGTGTCAAACTCAGTTCCTGAAGGGCCGTAACCCTGCACGTTTTTAGTTGCAACCCTGCTTCAAAACACTTAAGTGAAAGTTTCAAACAAACCTGAAGGACTCAATTAGTTTGATCAGGTGTGTTTAATTAGGGTTAGAACTAAACTTTGCAAAGCTGCAGCCCTCCAGGAACTGAGTTTGACACCTGTTCTGTAAGTGAAATGTAATTTGTCAAATAAAATTTACAGTCCAAATAAGTGCAGTGCAAATGTCTAGTTACTTGTATTGAAATATTTCAGGGTTTTTCCTTGTTCGTAATGAGATGGAGGTGGTAAATCCAACTTCATCATTACCCATCAAATGTTATCTCCTCTTTAATCCTTTGCTCAAGCCTATACTAATGGTCAGAAAGCAAGCCATTGTGTAAAGCTGGTTGATGCTCGCTGTAATAGAGAGAGATGATGACTGTTCAGCTTATGTTGCTTAACCCTGCAGATGAGATGCTCAAAGTGGACCCTCTGCTGAGCGATGGACACTGTCTCCCTCACCTAGTTGCTCTTCCTTTGAACACACATATCATGTTGAAGGATGCAAGTTGTGGACCTAAATCAGATGTAATGCATGTAGATGTATAAATTAGAAAGAAATGAAACTGCTTTAAAATGTATTAGGTTTTACATATAAAGTATACTTCAATTCATTAAAGTTCATGCTAGTTAATACTACAGTGTGCTGTTGCATTCATTAACAAAGTTGTAGATACTGCAAAATATACAGTATAATACAGTTTATTATAGTTAGTATGGTTCAAAAACGTAATATTGTTTACTATAAATGCTATTACAACTTCTTATTTCATGTGGGTTGAATCGTATCTTTAGAACCATATAACATGATAGAAAGCAACTCCTACATAACTCATAACTGTTTTCTTATATAAGAAACAAACAAGAGAAGCACCCAGCACAGTCCTTAGCTTAGCTAACAGTATTGAACATATAGATAATTATTAAAAAATCATAACTTACCCTCTGATTGCTCGAGGCCTCCAACAACGTGAGCTGCCCTGTGTGCTGACAAACAGAAACACCCCATCTCATTGGCTGGCTGTAGCCAATAAACTGGCTTTGCTGCTCTTTTACTGGTATGTACATTACAGTAGAATTTATGATTTTTAACAAGAATCTCTTCAGAAAAGAGTTTAAATAAACCCTAACTAATGACATAATCGTGGGAAATTATTATTTTGCACCTCAGTCCTGTTGGCTGCTGGCATTGTTCATTGGTCAGGCTTCAGCCAATCAAACAGCTTTACACCTGCCCCGCCCCTCCCCCGCCCCGCGCTGCTCACGCCTCTGCATCTGCGAGTGCACAGATGAGTTCTGCTACAGAGATCGCGGGAGATGTGTTGCAAAAGTCAGAGCGCGGGAGATTTGTAGTTGTACTGACCAATCTGAGAGGTTGTGAGTGCCGACCTGTGGTTGTAGAGCAAAGATGCAATCAAATTTGCCTTGCACACGTGTGTCTGTCACTTTGTATTTGTGAATGACATTTTACAAATACACAACTATTAATCTGCAACTTCCAATTTAAAACACAAGTGTGTGGGTTGTTGTGTGTGTGTGCAAATCGAGGATTTCAGCTGTTCACATCAGAGCTGTAAGTGTACATTTCAACCTACACATACAAATATTATTATCACAAGTGCTCACATTTACATTTGCAAGCTCTCGAGTTTCGCAACGGATTTACCTTCATATATATCTTTCTGAAAAACATAAACGCAACACTCAAAACATTGTTTTGGTGGTTGTTTGAAGTACTTATTTAAAGTGAGTTGAATCAACACAACTTTTTGGGGGGATAACTTAACTGTTTTATGTTCAATCCACTTAACATTGCAAAAACAATTAACTTCATTTTTGCTTAGTAAATGCTTTAGATGTATTTTTTTTTTTATATAAAATCTCTTGTGTGTTCCACGTGACAAAAATAACCACACATGTGTTTGGAACAACATGAAGGTGCGTAATTAATATTGCAGGGTTTTATTTTGTTTTATTTGGTTATTATCTTCTTTTAAAAGTCTCTTAAAGATTGTGTTGTTTGGATATGGATTATTTTTCCATGTTTTTTAATGTGTTTATTTATATCTTTCTGAAAAACATAGTAAAAGCAACACTCAAAACATTATTTTTGCTGGTTGTTCAGGGTACTTATTTAAAGTAAGTTGAATCTACATAATTAGGATCAACACAATTAAGTTAACTAGATCAGATACGCGGCCGCACAGTAGTGCGATATGCACATCAATATAGCAGCATTTTTTATGACACTGTATGACAATAATTATTATTTTAGAGTAATGTGATGGTTGGGTTTAGGATTGGGGTGGGGGTAGGCGTTAAAAATATAATTTATTGGGTAGTTTAATAAATAATAATCGATACAGCTACTGTTTTTACATTACTATGATGGTTGGGTTTAGGTTGCGTTGGGGTATACGTTAATAAAATGCAATAAATGAGAAATTTAATAAATAATATAAATAATTTTCGTTAACTTTGTTAACTTAACATGTGATCTAGCAACAACCTAACTACACTGTAAAATGTGATTACTTGAAAAAAGTGAGTAAATCCATCTGCTTAAAAAATCTAGTTGATTTTACATCAAACATTTAAGTTATTCTGTTGTAACTTAGAACTGTTAAGTTCACTCAACTTTTTTTATTTTATTTAGCAACATAGATCCTTTACCTAATATTTTAATGCAGTTTTATACTGTAAAAAGCGATTAGCTGAAATAGTGAGTAAACCCATTGTCCTCAAATTATTAGGTAAATGAGTTATGTGCATAATTATAAAAATTAAGTTAAGTGATCTTAACACTTCTTCGTTACAACATAATTACTTACATTTTTTAAGTAAAATCAACTTGTCATTTAAAGGCACTAAGCTTACTCACTCTATTGAGTAAATGCTTTTTACATAACTTTAGATGCATGTTTCTTTTTTATTTTACATTAATAACATTTAATAATGGTACCACATAAAATCTCATGATAAAGTGTTATCACAGTTCTTCAAAAAAATTCCCTTGTGTTTCACTGTACAAAAATAACTGTATACGGGTCTGGAAGAACATAACAGTGAGTAAATAATGACGCTGGGTTTTGTTTGCTTATTATATAGCTTTAAAAGTGTCTTAAAGATTGTGTAGTTTGGATATAGATTCTTTTTTCATGTTTTTAAAGTTGTTTAATGTTCACCACCATCTCTGTATTTATTTTATATTTCATGTTTATTATATCTTTTTAAAAAACATAGTAAAAGCAATACTGGTGGCAAAGTGGGAAGCATGATCGCCTCACAGCAAGAAGGTTGCTAATTTTAGCCTAGGCTGGGACAATTGACATTTCTATGTGGAGTTTGCATGTTCTCTGGGTGCTCCGTTTTCCCATACAGCAAGACATGCGCTTTAGGTGAACTGAATAAACTAAATTGGCTGTAGAGTATGTGTGTTAATGCAAGAGTGTATGGGTGTTTCCCAGCGTTGGGTTGCAGCTGGAAGGGCATCCGTTGTGTAAAACATATGCTACATAAGTTGGCGGTTCATTCTGCTGTGGCAACCCCTGATTAAAAAAGGGACTAAGCCGAAAAGAAAATAATAAATGAAAAGCAATACTCCAAAAAATATTTTTGCTGCTTGTTCAAACTACTTAGTTTAAAATAAGCTGAATCAACACAATTCTTGAGTTTTTTGGAGGGAACAACTTGTTCAATCCAATTAAATTCGCAAAAACAACTTCTGCGATTTATATTGGGACAAAATTAAGGAATTGGGTGAAAGCCAGCATTTATTTTTACAGAGAATGATATTGTGAAATACCATTTCATACCATTTATACCAGAACCATTTTATAACTTAATAGAAAATATTTTTTCAGAAGTGGATTTGGTAAGTCTTTTCAGCTTTTAATTGAAATTAAAATATTGTGTAACATTATGAATGCCTTTAATGTCTTTTTATGTCGTTCCAGAATAGATAAGTCCTAATTTTGGTCAAAGAATATTAAGTAATAATAAATATTTACTGTGCAGAAAATCAGCATATTAAGAGAGTTCTGAAGGGCCATGTGAGAGTGAAAATTGACATTATTATGCTGAAATGCAGCTCTGACTCACAGGAATAAATTACATTTTATAAATATACACTACCGGTTTAAAAGTTTGGGATCAGATTTTATTTTATTTATTTATTTATTTATTTGCATTTGTAATAAACTGTTAAATTGTTAATTATTCATTGAAAATGTAAATAACTGCTTTCTTATTGTATGTAGCTTCAAATGAACTTATTACTCCAGTCATTATTGCTTTTAATACTATTACCTTGAATAATAATAACATTAAGAATAACAATAATTAATATTAGTGGGCAGTGATGCCACATCACAGCAAGGTTGGTTCGAGTCCTGGCTGGGTCAGTTGGGATATCTGCGAGGAGTTTTCATGTTCTCCCCGTGGGTTTCCTCCGGGTGCTTCAGTTTCACCCACAGTCCAAAGACATGCACTATAGGTGAATTGGGTAAGCTGAAATGTCCATAGTGTATGTGTGTGAACGATAGTGTATGGGTATTTCCCAGTGATGGGTTGCCACTGGAAGGGCATCCACTGCATAAAACATATGCTAGATAAGTTGCCGGTTAATTCCGCTGTGGCGGCCCCTGATTAATAAAGGGACTAAGCCGAAAAGAAAATGAATGAGTTAATGAATTATTATTAGAGTGATATCTGAATGATCATGTGACTCTGAAGACTGGCTTAATAAAACTGAAAATTCATCTTTTAAAATCACTGCAATAAATTATATATTAAGTGTATATAGATGTACTGTATTTTGATGTAATAAATATTTAGTAAGCAGGAGAAGCTTATTTTAAAACATTTAAAAATCCTACTGACCCCAAACTTCTGACCGGTAGTGTATATTCAAATAGAAATAGTTATTTTAGATTGCAACAATATTTCACAATATTTTTTATTTTTAATCGCAGTGAAACATTAACATTTTTCACAATTATTAACTTGTGTATAGTGTACATGCTGCAGAGTTTTTAAACTTGAATGGATTTCAAGTGAATGTTTACTTTCCCATTAAAGAAAAAACAATTTAAGGGATAAAAAAACGGACGCCCCTCCACCCCCCCAAAAAAGAAGCACTGGAATGAAGTCAGACCAGCTGCACAGATACAAAAAACTGATCTTGGAACAGCCATCTTTATCTTACAGAAAGTTTAAACTATCTAAAAAGGGAGTCATACTCTATGATCATGTCAAATTGCCTAATCTAAGATTAACAGCAAATCAACAGCAAAATACAGTCGCACACTCCACAAAACTTGGAGTAATTACTCAGATGTTTGACAGCTTCCCTATATGGAGAGCATGTAAACACATATAATAATAAAAATGTAGGGTTTCAAAGCAAATGGAAATGTGTGATATCAGTCAGTATTTCACACATTATATAAAGATAAGTAATTAAAATAGCACTCAAACTCCAGCTCATACAACTTACATGCACACACAAACACACACACACACACACACACACACACACACACACACACACACACACACACACACACACACACACAGTAGATGAATAGATCTTAATAAAATCTAAAAGACTTTTGATTACATTTACTCACACACACACAGCTTTAGAAACTAACCTCTTGTCTGTGCTTTGCTTTTCCCTGATGTTGTTTTTGGGCTGCGTTCAGCTCCTCTCAATGTATGTCGTGTAGGACAGCTTCACTATGAAGTGACGACCTTCTGGAAACAGGTGTGTCTGCATACCAGTAGACAACGCACGGTTAAGCCACTCAAACTACACACCTCACTGCCAATCCAACCAGTCAGACAAGTGCACATTTATATTTCAGAAGATTTTACGACATTGTCTGTCATGTACATAAGCCACAAACTGTCTGAAAAAGTTGAAACACAATGTGTGTTTCAATAAAGATAAAAAAAAAACATAAAAAGAAAGTTTGTTTCTATGCTAACACTAGTTATAAATTCACTCAAAATCATTCAAGTGGTCATAAATCTTTCTTTAAGTGCATTTCAGAAATTAAAAGCCAACAAGGAATGTTCTCAGAACTTTCCATAATGTTTCTTAAAAGTTGTGTAAATGTTAGCATGTAACGTTCTGAAAACTATATTTCATAACATTCCTGTAATGTTGATAGACATTAACATTAACGTCACGTGCAATGGAATGTTTTAAAAATGTGTTATGTAACATTTTGAGAGAACTAATAACATGGGACTGAACATTTCTGAAAACCTTTTGAATAACATTAGTGTAACCATTCATGTACTCTTGAGTGTGCACCATAAAAACACCTGATGCCATTTCTTCTGCATATCTACAGTACACTCGAGGAAGTGCTTAAAGTCTTAGAATTTTAGCATGTCAGGATGTGTGTGTTGTCACATTGCATGTCAATGGGGTAATGAATCACAAAATAGCTAGTTACTCTAACTTATGCACTGTAACATAGTAAAGTAAGGGATTTCTGTTCATTTTAGATACGGTTAATTACAGTTTGTTGTATGTCTCAAACACTGTAAAAAGCCTAACCCTTCAAACCAAATCAGAAATCAGAATATTTGTATATACTTTTTGTTGTTGTTGTTGTTGTTGTTTGTTATATAAATTCAGTTTTATACTTTATCAATATGCACTGTAAAAATATTTGTTAATTAACAGTTTATTTTGTGATTAACAAGTGCCATTTATTCATGGTTGTAAACTACGTTATGGGACCTTGATCTCTACTTTTGATGTTGTAAATTCAACTCTACAGTTTAACAGGGTGACTTTATTAATATTTTAGTAGTTTGAAATACGTTGTAATATAATGTATAAGAAATAATATATAGAGAACTAAGTCTGTAAAATAACAGAAAATGTACTGGCAGCTTAATACAAGACAATAAATCACCAACCCTGACAATATATCACTTTAAAATATTCAAAGGTTAATTAAAGTCCCTTTTTTCAACCTTTCAAGGTTAATAGTTGTTGGAACGAAGATCAAAGTCCCATAATGCAATTCAAAAGCATAAATAAACATAAAAAACACGAATCACAAAATATAGAAAACTGCTAAATTAAGAATATTTTTACAATGTGCTTATAGGAAGCAATGAATTAAGTAAAAAAAATAATGACAATTATGGTATGTATAAAACTTATTTCTTTTCATATATATTGTGTAGCTGTGCGATTTATGAGATTTATAGTCATTAAATTACTTACAGAATAAAGTGAAGAGAAAAGCTGCATTTAAACACAATTTTAATGATGAAGTTAGTAATTAGCAAATAAATACTTTTTTGCAGCAACTTATGCAACTCGAAGTGCATCCATTAGACAGAATCGTCAGAAGATGTCACAAAGTGGCTGTTTGTTTGTTTGTTTGTTTGTTTGCTTTGCTTTGCTTGATTGATTTTAAACAGAACACATAAATCAGGCATTTTGATGCAAGACACAGTTTGATGCAAGAAAACAACAGTCAAAAACTTATTTCTGCTGCTTGTTTTACAGTTTTTTAGCTTGTTTTAATTTAAAATGAGCTAAAACAACATAATTCTTAAGATTTTTTGGGCCAACTTAATTGTTTTATGTTCAATCCTACTTACATTTGTTAAGCTAACCTAATTGATTTGTGTCGGGACAACATGAAGGAATTGTGTGGAACAGTGAACACAAAATTCCTGCAAACTATTATTTAAAATGAGCTGAATCAATAATCTTTTGAACAACTTAATTGTTTTATGTTCAATCCACCAAAACCTGTTAAAACATTTAAGTTAATTTAATCTATATGTGTTGGGACAACATGAAGAAATTGTGTGGAACCCAGGGTTTTTTTTACAGTAAAAGCAGGGGCAAGTTTAGTTATTTTGGGGCCCTAAGCAATTCCAGCCATAGGGCCCAAGTCCTGAAATGCATCCTTTCAACTTTTATTTAAAAAGTATTCATATTGCCGTTTTTTAAATCACTCAAACGTCTTTTCAACATTTTAAATTAATGTAATCTCTACATTTTAAATTATTAGTTTTCTTAAAATGAATTTTTAACTGAAAATAATATATATATATGTATGTATGTATACTTTTTTTTTTACTGCTGGGTTGCTTCATAATGGATATTTTATTTTGTAATATTATTATTGCATACCATTACATTATTATAATAAAATTATATCTGATTGTATATTAAATAATATTTAATTACATTAAATTTGTATTTGTTAAACGCTTACCATACAAAATATGGTATAAATTATGTTATATATAGTTTATAAGTATGATTTATACTTCTAGATATTTACTGGGGGCCCCCAGATAAATTATCTGCCGCTTAACCTCACTAATTGTTTAAATCTGCCCGAGTGAACGATGTACATCAAATCACATTTCTGTTGTCAGCACTGTCAGCTGCATTACTATGAAATCTGCTCTGAGGCCGTACAGTGATATTTACAGGCCCTGATGACTTCAAGTCACTTTTTTTCATCACTGATAAAGACCAACGTTGTACCTTGAACAGAGCATGTCGTTTCAATTAGAAAAATCAATGAGAAACTGACCTTTTTAATTAAAGGTGCTGCTCATCTTTTAGTCAGCTGTCTACCCTTTGAGATGCATCGATGTGGACTAGTGATCCTGTTATTGTTCTGTTATTGAAAACCATCTTTTGGTTTCTTCTTTGCGACTGTCAATCTTATCTGAAAGACGCACAATTATGGGGATGTTGGTGTGTCGCAGGCTTTAGTTCAGATTCTTTGACAGACTCTTGAGCATGTATGGGTCTGGCGCAGCCTCAAGACAACTTTTACATTTGCGAATCCTGACACAAATCAGCAGTTCTGAAGGAAATGTGAGGAACAAACTGAACCTCTAGTGAAAATGCAGGACATTAAAAAATGAGAAGGTGATTCTGGGTTTCAGAATATTAAACACATATGAGTGCCAAAAAATCAATTATATACTGTAAAAGGCACAGTGGCTCAGTAGCACTGTCATCCACCTCACAGCAAGAAGGTCTCTGTTTCTAGTCCTGGTTGGGCCAGTTGGAATTTCTGTGTAGAGAAGCATGTTCTCCCCAGTTGGCTTGGATTTCCTACAGATGCTCCAGTTTCCCCCCCAGTCCAAAGACATGCGTTATAGGTGAATTGAATAAGCTTGCAACTGGCTGTGTGTGTGTGTGTGTGTGTGTGTGTGTGTGTGTGTGTGTGTGTGTGTGTGTGTGTGTGTGTGTGTGTGTGTGTGTGTGTGTGTGTGTGTGTGTGTGTGTGTGTGTGTGTGTGTGTGTGTGTGTGTGTGTGTGTGTGTGTGTGAATGTGAGAGTGTATAGGTGTTTCCCAGTACTAGGTTGTGGCTGGAAGATCATCCGCTGTGTAAAACATATGCCAGAATAGTTGGCAGTTCATTCTCCTGTGGCGCACTCTGAAACAGAGACTAAGCCAAAGTAAAATGAATGAATGTAAAAGTAAAACAAAGACAACTAAAGTAAAACGACCAAAATAAAATATTAATTTAATTAACTGTCTTATAGATTTATGAAATTTGCAAGTAATTTCTGTGTGAAAATTGGTTATACACCTTTTTTCAGTGAATAAAATAGAAATTATAGATGCAAAGAATTGTATTATTTTAATTACATGTTGTTGTCAAACTATCATCTAAATATGTCCTGAAACTTTTTTTTACTTCACAAAAAAGCTGCAATATTTACGAGCAGACTTTTTCTCTTTTTCACACCATACAAATATCGAAACATCCAAGATACATTTATGTGAGAACAAAATAACTTATGATTATGAACTGATACGTAAAAAGTTATTATTTACCCCAGCTGCGGGGCAAGTTGTAACTGACAAGGTTATTTGTAGCACATGCATCTCAAGTCAGATTTCACACAATTAATTTAAATTGACTTTAAAATATTCCTCAGTATTTAAATGTGCAGTAGGTGATTGTCTTCAGAAACATTTTTTTTTTGTGCTGGTTGAAAGTCTCTTCACAGCTCAATAGTGATGATTAAAGTAAACGATCTAAATGTGTTTATATGTATTGTTATATTCTGGGTAAGGTATAAGACAAAAATGTTCATCCAATTAAAATTTGTCCGCTAATGTTGATCCTGGACCATCATCATCATTTAAAGTGTAAATTCACTAATGTTGATCCTGGACCATCATCATCAATTTAATACAGTGTAAATTCACTAATGTTGATCCTGGACCATCATCATCAATTTAATACAGTGTAAATTCACTAGTGTTGATCCAGGACCATCATCATCAATTTAATACAGTGTAAATTCACTAATGTTGATCCTGGACCATCATCATCAGTTTAATACAGTGTAAATTCACTAATGTTAATTCCTGGACCATCTTCATCATTTAAAGTGAAAATTCACTAATGTTGATCCTGGACAATCATCATCAATTGAATACAGTGTAAATTCACTAATGTTGATCCTGGACCATCATCATCAATTTAACAATGAAAATTCACTGATGTTGATCCTGGACCATCATCATCAATTTAATACAGTGTAAATTCACTAATGTTGATCCTGGACCATCATCATCAATTAAAGTGTAAATTCACTAATGTTGATCCTGGACCATCTTCATCATTTAAAGTGTAAATTCACTAATGTTGATCCTGGACCATCATCATCAATTTAATACAGTGTAAATTCACTAATGTTGATCCTGGACCATCATCATCAATTTAATACAGTGTAAATTCACTAATGT